GGAATGGCTTCAATAATGATCCATACGTTGCTAATCTTGTTTTACTTATCTCATGGTTTTTTGGTGGAGGGGGCTGAAGTATTTGAAAATCAATCCCAGGCATACTTTCACCCACATTTTTTCATTATGTATCTCTAACAGGCAAGAACTGGAGAAGACCATAACCACAATGCCGTTACCACAGCTAACCAAATTAATAACTTAACATTTTTATCAAGTCTACAGTTTATTTCCTTGATTGTCTCAGCAATGTCTTTTTAGCATTGGCTTACTCAAATCAGAGCCATACAAGATCTAAACGTTGCATTTGGTTTACTGGGCATTTAAAACAACCTTTATTTACATGCACTTGACCTTCACATTAAGCCAATGGAAAATGTATGGTCCCAGTTCACAGGAGGGGGCTTAGAGAGAGGTTAAAAAACCTTCACAAAGTCTCATTGCTGATTAGGGCCAGACTCAGAATTTGAATTAAGATCTGCCCTAGTTCAAAGACTCCATCCATTCCACTCCTTTCCCTTCAGTTCCCAGAATTTTTCCTATGTTGCAGAGAGGCAAGAGGGCTAGTGGTTAAGACAAAGGGTTTGGGTTCAGGTTGGCCTGGATTCCAATTGGAGCAAGTTATGTAATCTAATACTCCACTTCTCTCTGCATCTGTAAAATAAGAATATTGTGGTGATGATGGTTTGGGGCTGGTCAAGTAGAATAATACATGTCTAATAGTTAGCACAGCGCTTGGCACATAGATAGCACTCAATAAACCTTAGTATGATTAGTGTAGAGGAGAAAGAATCACAAAGTGTTTGCTTTTGTCACTTTTAATACAGCCTGCTTAGGACTGCGGCTGAAGGGCTGGGAAGGGCGGCAGTAGGGTGATGCTGCTGCATGTGCTGGAGAAGGAGCCCTGGGCATAAAGTATTAAAGCAGGCACCCCAGGAGCTCTTCAGAGGCCTTGGCTGGAAACCAGTTAAACATGCCTTCTGAAGGCTAACCTGGCTGTCTCCACAGAGGGAGAACCAGTGGGTGGCAGACAGGATGGGAGACTTGAATTTAGAATCATGTGAATGCATTAAACCTATTCCCCCAAAATGAATTGCATTTTAAAAAAACCTCTTTTGCCCTGACCGGTTTGGCTCAGTCAGCCTGCGGACTCAAGGGTCCCAGGTTCGATTCTAGTCAAGGGGCATGTACCTTGGTTGCGGGCACATCCCCAGTGGGGGGTGTGCAGGAGGCAGCTGGTCGATGTTTCTCATCGATGATTCTAACTCTATCCCTATCCCTTCCTCTCTGTAAAAAATCAATAAAATATATTTAAACAAACAAACAAACAAAAACCTCTTTTACCATAGGGGTAAGTTCTGCAAAGGGATCTAACAATAATAATAATAATCCCCTTACTCTTTTTTTTTTTTGCAGTTCTAGGAGGACTTTGGTCATACAAGGCAGGACTTGCACCGAGACTGGGAATACTAGTATTTCAGCTGGATTAGAATTTCAAAGATCCACGGTAATGTTTTCATTTCAGCTGTTTTCCTTCTGGCACTCATTCTACGAGTCCACAACCAGCACTCACAGATTTGGGATTATTCAGCCCTGGATTGTCTTCTAGCACAGGCATTGTTAAAGGTTGAATCTATTGGCGAAATAAGGCTTTTGTATGTATTGTCTGTGCATTTCCCAGGTCATTTTTGATGCTTACATCGGTTAAGACTCTGGGGACCTAATTTTCTAGAGTCTTTGGGAGGGGGCACATAACCCCATTCACAAATAATCAAGAACTTGCCTGGATACTGTTCTAAGGCCTTTACATATATTAACTCAAACCTCATAACACTACACTGTCGGTACCATTATACCGCTCTTACTTTCAAAGAAACAGAACCAAGTACGATTAGGAAACTTGTTCAAAATGAGCCTGCACAGCTAACCATTGAGCCACACTACCTCTCTGCTGGCAGTGGGCCAATCATGGAGGGGTTCTTTGAAGACGATACAAGCATCCTTGGCTGTGTAGCAGCAATACCCTGAGTCCCATAGCCCCAATCCACCTCTGCAGGTTTTGGTTTAGGAGCAGGAAAGACCAGGGTGTGAATTTCCGCCTTGACCTCAGGCAATGTACTTACTCGCTGTCAGCGTCAGGTTCTTTATCTGTGCCAGGGAGGAGCTTAGATTAAAAGACCTCTCCTCGCTTTACGCGTGTGTGGGTGTGTGCAGGGGGTGGGAGGTGGAGGGGCTGAGGTTTCTGGGCGGTGCGCTGCTTTTTCCAGGTCTTGAGGGAACGGTGTTTTGAGGTTCCGTCCTGGCCCACTCCCTCCCTGGAGGTCAGGCCCCAGGCAGCGACGGCGCTCCGGCGGGGCTGTTCCTCCTCCGCGGGGAAAACGGCCGCCACCGCCGGGAGGTGTAGGGTGGGCTTTTCCTCCGAGGGAGTTAGGGATGACTGTATCCTCGGGACGGCTTGCTTCTTGGAGGCAGGGGCAGTCGAGCCGAGCCCAGAAGGTCCAGCAGGAGTCAGTAAAAAGGGGTGGAAGGGGAAGGGTGAGCGTCCCCCACCCCACCCCCAGCCGCAGAACAAAGAAGCGCGGCCGGCTTACAGTAAAGGAGGAGGAGCTGTGAGCGTGGAGAGGTCGGTAGAGGCGAAATCACACCGGAGCTGCAGGGCTTGGCTTTATTCTAAGAGCAACTGGGAGGGGTTTGGAGGAATGAAGGCAAGAGTTTGAGAAAGACTCCGGGAGGCGCTTGGGCAGAGGGGGTCGGATCGGGGCGGGGGGCGGGGGGGGGAAGCGGCAGGAGGCTATCACAGAAGCTGCCCGGTTGGAAGATGACCGACGATGGAGGAAAGGGGGAGCGGGCACCTGGCATCTGAGCCTTTCTCAGTCTCCGCGACACTGTGCGCCATCCCTGGACTCTCTCGGCTTCTGTGGCAGGGCCCAGAGGGGGCTGGGCCCCGGCCCAATTCTCAATGAGAAGAGCCCAGAATCCGCTCCCCTTCGGAGGGCTCTCTGGTCCAGGCGCCCCGGAACTGGGAGAACGTATCACTGCCGAAGACGGAGAACCGTTACCCCTCGAAATACACAAGAACCTCCACCGTTTTTGGCAGCAGCGTCCTCCGCCCATGACCTCATGCTTGAAGCTCCTATATAGCCTTCCCCCGCCCAGTCCACACCCAGCGCCGAGTGGGGGGAGGGTGGGGGAGAGTGGCCAAGATCTGGGTAGCGGGAGCACCTTATTTATCCAGTGTGACTTCTGGGGAATGGGGTGCAATGATCTCCCCTAACTGCAAAAATGCCTGGTCTAACTTTCCCTCGAGCAAAAAAGATTCGCTGTCGTTTGCCCTCGATGGCTAGATACCTCGAGGCGGTCTGTTGAGCCGAACCATCTTTGGTTCACGTTTCCTCGGACGAGAAAGCACACCTGGAAATGCTGGGTCCCAGGCCGGACCGACAGGCGGCCGCGCTGTCGCGGGACCCGGGGCCGCCCTGTTCTCGCCCTCCTGGCGCCGCCGAGGTTTGAACCCCCGGCTCGCCTTTCAGCCCGCGCCCTGCCCCCTGCTCGCAGCTGCTCTCGGTTTGGGTGCAGCGGTTTCCCCCGCAGAGGAGGAGGAGCAGGCAGCGCGAGGAGCGGCTCCGGCTCGGGTTTCTGCACCAATGCCGAGCGGCCCCGGGCGGCCCCCGGCGGCCGTCCCTCCTCCCCGGCACCACGTTCCACAGTCATGGCGCGCGAGGAGGGGCGAGCGCGCTCCGCGGCAGCACCCGCACCCCCTCCCCTCAGCTGCCCAGCCCGGCCCCTCTCCTAGGCAACCTCCCTCCCCGGCCTGCTGCGCAGCGGAGATGGAGACCCCTCCCCAGAGAGCTGCGTTTCCAGCGCCGCCTGCAGCACCCGCTCCCCGCCCCCATCGGGGCGGAGGAATGGAGCCGCGCGCTTCGCGAATCTCCAGCCCCTTCCCCGGAGCGCCGGCCTCTCTCCCAGCCCCACCGAAGCCGGGGCGCAGTGCGGGGGGGCGGGGGGGAGTAGGTGCAGACCGGCTCCCCGCAGCCCACCTCGACCATGGCATCTTTGCAACCCCTTTAACAAAATAAACCCCGAACCCAAAGCCCAGTCGTTAGACTGCAAAGCGCGTTACAATAACCGGGACGGCTACGCAGGAAGCAATCCTGCCCTGGTCCGGGGCTAAGGCGGCAGCTTCCCGGCCGCGCCGCCTTCTCCTGGGCCTCGATTTTCCGGCCTCGCCGGGGAGTCCGCCACATCTCGATTTGCAGACAGGTCCCGCGCGGGGCCCCAGCGCGGTCCTCGCCCCCCGCCCCATCCTGGTCCAGGCTCTCTCCAGCCTACAAAAGGTGCCACCTCATGCACATGCAGAGCAAACAAATAAGGCCGGCAGCGCGATGCCGGGAACGCTGCGAACAATGCGCGGGGCGGCCCGCGACCGCCGAAGCGAGGCGCCCCGGGGGACACGGGGCGCAGGCGGGGGCCGCGGCGTAGGACCCGCCGGCCCGGCGCTGGACACCTTACTTCCTGCTTCCCCGCCCGCGGCCAGACCCAGCTCTGCGGAGGGATATCTCTCCCCTCTTCTGTCCCCCTCTCTCCCTTCCCCCGCCCTCCCCCCTTTTTTGCTTCTGCTCCCCCCCCCCACCCCGCCTTTCTCCTTTTGCAAGAAAATAATTTGACAGTCGATTTGCTGACAGGGGAGGAATTTGCATCCTGGATTAAAAAAAAAAAAAAAAAGACCGAGAGGAGCTTGGGAACGGTTGCTAGGGGTGGGTAAAGGGTGAAAAAAGGGGGGCGCCGGGGAGCAGATAAGGAGGGTTAAGGGAGGGGCGAGGATGGGGAGCAATGCGAAAGGTAAGGCCAGGTTACCGCGGCTCGGCCCCGAGTGGGCTGCGGCCGGGGGAGGGGCGAGAGATACATATGTATTTCTGTCTTCTTAGCACACCCCCTTCCCTAAGCGATGGCTGAGAGGCGGTGCATGCAGACGGGGAGTAAGTTTCCTGAAGGGGAGGGTGGATGCACGCGCGCGGCCCCGCGCTGCAAATTTCCACCGGGGAGGGAGAGTGGCTGGATGCGGAGAGTTTGGAGTTGCTTGCGGCGGAGGGCAGGAAGGGGAGCAGGGCCGGGAAGGGGGTTGGCGGGCGCTATCTCTGGGAGTAAGTTTCCAGGATCGGGAGAGCCTGCACGCTTGCTCGCTAGTAAGTTTTTGGCCGGGGAGGGCGAGTGGGGAGGAGGAGAGGGAGGGGTGCATGCATATAGAAGGGGGGAGGGGGGAGCAGATTTCCTGCGGGGAGGCTGAATGCATATGGAGAGTAGATTTCCTGAAGGGAGGGTGGAGGCAGAGACGGACCGAGTAAGTTTCTTGCTCGGGTGGTGGCGGAGGTGGTGGGTTGGTGCTTTGGTAACGCTGAGCTTCCTACCGGGGTTGGGGAGCACGCTGTTGGGTGGGGGTGGGGGATGCAGGGCCGGGTTCCCTGCTGGGGAGAGGGGCTTGCATCTGGGGAGTATGTTTCCTGGCGGAGCGATATTTGTTTACTGGCTGAGGGCAGTACTGTAAGTGAGTAGCGCTTCGAGGAGGCGGCTCTGACATAAATTAATATTGAAATTACTCCATCAGCTCTGCTTCTCCCCCATCTCACCCCCCAAGCGGAGACTGGTCTTCTTGTCGGATTGCCCATGCACTTGTTGCAGAAACAGCCAAGGTAGGCAAGAAGCTTATTAAGTTTCATTTTTTTAAAAAAAAATTAGTTGGGGGGGATGCTCGGTGAGAAGATGGGGGAGGGGAAGGAAAAGTCTCCCCCCCCACTTCTTTACTTTCAGTATGTTAACCGGGCCTTCTCTCTGCTTCCCTTCTTCTCTCTTCCCCCTCGGTGCTGCACGGCATCCCAGCAAAGGGGGAGGGGTGCGAGCGGCGCTAAAATTGGCAGATCGGGCTTAAAGGGTGGTGGTGGGGCTTGCACTTGAAGGGTGTGATGCTATAAAGCCTTCATTCTTCCAGCCAAGAAACCGCAGGACCCTAGGGATGTGCCTTTTGGGGCTTTGAACATGATGCATGTATGTATATACATGCGCCTGTGGGCTCTTTGGGGGCCCGAGTACCCACCAGAAGTTAAAAGTGGCCACCCGGACGAGGGAAATGTGTGGGGGGTAAACCTGCCCCTCCAGTCTTAACTTCAGTTTGGGAGTTGTTGCTGGTGATCTAAATAAATAGATATTAGAAAACCACCCATTCACTGGGGGAGGCCGAGAGCACCTGGCCCGTGGCCTCCGGGCAGCCCTGGGCTGGGGCATGTGCGCCTGCCATCCCTACGTGAAAAGAAAATGACATTCTGGTTCCTCCGTGGGGCTTGGGCTGGCCTGCGAGAGCCAGCTTTGTGGAAACTTCCCAGACCCGGCGGCTCTGGCAAGTGGAAGTACGTGTTGAAGCCGGTTGCTAACAGCGTGGCCTGGGCTGTCTTGGGAAGTGCATGGGAGTGATGCTTAGGAATGAGGGATCCAGGGATGGCTGAGGAGTTCTTTAAAAAAATGCCTCCCGGGCCGGGTGGGTGCGCTTTTTAGCAGGCCTTGGAGCAGAGCGTTAAGAAAGGAGTTTTCGGTTGTCCCAGTTGGTACCAACCTTCGGCATCATTAACCGTTTCAAGAAAGCAGTCTGGCGACCGACGACGACGGGGTTTGGTGCCCACTGGGAGGATAACCAGCAGAAGTACTCAGCGGTTTACCAGTTAACCAGCAGTCTCTGCTCCTCCCTGCCTGTTTTCCTGGTGCTCAGCCTGCTGGTTTCTGCAGATGGGTGGTTGTAGGTCTTGGCTGTCAGGTACCTGGATTATGCTGGGAGTTTTAACTTTGCCAGGATAATTTTAGCACCAGAGGTTCAAACCCAGGCATGCTTAGTAGGGTCAGGGAGTAAACACTAGGCAGACTGGTTAACTAAAGTTGGTTAAGCTTTCTGCAGTTCTGTAGCCAGGCTCAATTCTAGCAGGGGAAATAATGGGATTAAAAATATTTCTCTGCGTGTTACGGATGGACAGTGCTTTCTTTCCTTCCTGTTATCAGATTTCCAGATTGAGAATTGGTTATTTGGCAGCTTGAGAGCTGAGTTAGTTGGGAAATAAATATTGCCATTTATCAAATGTTCCTAACTAGGCATTCGTTAAACAAATTAGCTATTAATTTTCCCCTGCTGAAAGTCTGCGTCTGGTGGTGTCTATTGCTGGGAAGGTAAACACAATCTTTATGTGTGTTTATCCCAGGATAGTGGAATTATTGACATGGCTACCCTCGAAGCCAAGAGCAGTCATTCAGGTTTTTTTTTTTTATTCTTATAGTTATGAGATTTATTTTATTGTCTTGCTTTGGCCATTAATCAAGTCACAGTAGCTTTTTTTTCTCTTCTGCTGGGAATGTTCTTGTGGTAATAAAGGTTTGAAGGCCCATGAATCATAATTCATTCTTTTAAAAATATTGTGGTGATTGTCAGGATTTGATTTATAGGAATTGATACAGGGAGTGACACAGCTCTTTGGGCCCCGCCCTTTTAGGCATGTCCGTTTTTGCCAAAGATTTGTTGAGAAGCCAGCTTGACATCTGAAAAAAAGAGCGCTTCCGTCTGCTTTATGGGCATTGAGAAGATTAATTTTACAGGTTCCATAGTAAACACGAGTCTTTTCACAGCTTGGTAAGCAGGCTTCCACATAGCAGGCGTGTGTTAATATCACATAGCATTTATGTGAGCTTGCTGTGAAAACAGTTGTTCTATGAACTGTGTGGAAAGTACTCCGTTTGGCTTCCTTTAACCCGCTTGGGCCTGTGGTTTTTGTTGAGGTAGGAGCATTAATGATAAGGGAGGGGACTGCTGCTTATATCATAAAGTGTGTGATCACAAAAGCCAAGCTTATGTATCATATTCTTTTTCCTATCCTTTGATGGTTGGGTTGGTCGTAATAATCAAAAGCTTTGTTTTCTTGGGAAAAGTATAAGGATTCTCCATAAAGTTGATTAATCAGAAAGTATTGACGTTGTTTTGCATTCAGTGGTTGCCTCGAGTTTATAGTATTTGAAAAGTGACCAAGAACTTTTAAGGTGGTTTGCTCACAGCAGGGGGGAAATGTCCAGTCTAGCATTTCTGGACTTCAGATTTTTTTTTTTTTTAAATTAGGAGCGCACAGTTTGATCCATGAGTTACATCTGTGTCTGAAATTCTGTCATTCGGTCTTGTGGAGAGAGCTCTCCAGAAAAGTCTCTGGAGGTCTTGACAGTGTCTTCCTGGGCCAACGGCCAAATTGCTTCATGGACTTGTGCTGAGTTGATTAACTTCCGTTTTTGTCTTCTCATGGAGAGAGTGGAGTTGTACCTTGGCATTCCAAAAAAGACTCTTGAGTGGCCTGGTTATCTTGACCATCAACGCAAGGAAAAACTTAGGAAAGCCTGCCACCGACCGTCTTGGGGAAAAAAAGGGCATGGTTGATACGCAATTATATGTGTTAATAGAGAGTGGCGCCAAAAATAATTTCAGTTCATCTTGGAAGTTTCCCCTGCAACCAGCTGGCTCACCTGTCTAATTATGCTTGGTCAAATCTAAGGTTAATTGAGCAGACCAGAAAGCCTAGTTGTGGCTTTACCCACTGTCTGGGGAAAATTCACACGTGGGTAATTGGAATTTGGTGGTATATTTGCCATAGGGTTCATGGTAATGATATTGTATTAATGTCGCTTCTGGGATATCTCATATTTCACTGTGGGCATTTTTTGGGGGGAAGGCTCTTGATGTTTTTATTGACTTTGAACATTCACATGTATAGTAAGGATCCAGACAAGTGACTCAGACCCCAGGCAGTACAAATTTGTGCTGATTGTTCTGCTCTAAAAGCAGTCGAATTCAGCTCATTTTATTTCTGACCTCATAAAACTGTGATTTAGGGAGGAGAGAGGGTTAGGATCAGCTAGGATCTTGTGGATTAGTAATATTTCTGAATTTGCATGTTTAAGGGGAACCAATAAAATAAAGAGGATATTACACAGTTGCTTTCTTTTGTGGGGAGAGGGAGACAAGAGCAGCTGGATCTGTTCTTGGCATGCTTTTCAGCGAGGCTACTGTGGCGTTTTAAGGAATAATACAGGCTTGAGAACATGAGTTTGATTCCATGGCTCTCTTAATCTGTTTTTATTTTTTCTGGGTTAAATAAAATACAAAACAAAAAGACCTTGTGGTATTTTATAAGGATTTTCAAGTTCTCTGGGTAGCTGCTTGTAGGGCCTACTGGTTAATTAGGGTTTACTGAGGAAATGGATGATTTTTGCTTTTTCCTCATGGAAGACAAGCTGAGAATGGGTGGGGTATGCTGAGCTATTGGGCTTTTGGTTTAGCAATATTAAAACGTTTTTGTTTTGTTTTGTTTTGTTTTTTGATAGAGAGGAAGGGGGGGGGGGGGAAAGAACCCATGTGCCTAAATGGCAGCGATAAGTCTAGGCTCATAGACGGTAACAGTTATTTTCATGCCATGGCTGACTGGTTTATTCATTTGTACATTCGGCAGTTACTTACTGAGCACCCATTCTGTGCTAGGCCCTAAGTTTAGACGCTGGGAATATGTTGATAATTCAGAATATAATTATCTCCCTCTACCCATCCCCCACCCCTCTCCCTAGTTTACAGTCCAGAGGGGAGGTTGACATGTAAAGGAATAGATATTGCAAAATGTGATAAATGCTCTGATGAAATCCCAGGGAGAGGTGACCTGGACTTACTCCGCTAGAGCAGCCTAGGAGAGCCTCTCTGGGGATTAGGGTGGGAGAAGCAGAGGGCACCAGACAGCCTGGGTGGAAGGCCTTTGGCTTTGGCCATTGAAGAGAGGCGCGGGTGGATAACGGGAGGGAGAGAGGGCACAAGAGATGATTGACCAGGCAGGGCTCTGGGGGCCTTGAAAGGTTTGGGTTTCATCCGAAGTGCAGTGGGAAGCCATTACAGTGAGAAGGGACACCCCTACCCAATGCATTGGTGGAGAGGGGCAGGTGTGGAATTGGGGAGCACAGTACTGTGGAAGTTGGAGCAGGTCACGGGGGGAGGTGACAGAAGGTGAATGGAGGGGAGCAGGTGGGTGCCAGACGCACATTGAAGGTAGAATGGGCAGGGCTTGGGGATGGATTTGGTGGGGGTTGGGGAGGAGGAATCTAGGATAACAGGTTTCTGACCTGAGCAGTTGGGTAGATGGGTGGTGCTATTTGCTGAGATGGGGAAGAGGGAGAGGGAGGGGAGCAGAATCACGCTCCCTGGAATCTGAGATGCCTGTTGGACTCAATGAGATGTTAAGCAAGCGGTCTGATACGAGCATCCAGTGTCAGAGGACTGGCCAGGCAAGAGATGAAAATGTGGGAATCATCAGCCAGGGGGTGGTATTTTAATGCAGGAGACTGGCGGACATGTCCTAAGGAGTCTGGAGGGAAAAGGCGATGCATACGAGTGTGCCGTGAGATAAGGCCGGGAAAGTCACCAACGGATTTGGCAAAATGGAAGCCATTGGCAACTTTGGGAACAGTCTCAGTGGAGTGATGGATTGGGCAGAAGCCAGGTTGGAGGGGTTGGCCGGGGAGTGGGAGGCGAGGAACTGGTAGTGGCATGTGTAGACAACTTTTGGGCACAGCTGGACTCAGAAAGGGGGCCAGAGGAATGGAGTGGGAGTTGGAAGGACATGGGGTAGAGGGACGG